AAGGACGAAAAAAAGCAAGCTGACACGATAAGGACATACAAAGAAGGCGCGGAGGGAAAAGAGGTTTACATGACGAGGGTGGGGGAACCTTGGGACAAAGCAGTGAGTGTGTGTGTATGTGCGTGTAGGTGTGACGGGGAGGGGATCATGTACAAGAAGCAGACTGTCGGGGCCTAATAGCTCCAATGGCGTCCAGAAAGGGGAGGAGGTCCAACGGCAGGAAGTTGGGGCTAAGAGGGTTCGGTGGTCAAGGGGGTCTTTAAAAAGGAAGACGGTCAACGGTGACTGGCAGTTAATTGATCAACCGGACAAAAGGGGGGCTGGAGGAGAAGGGGAGAGAGGTGAAGGATGGGAAAAGGTGGTCGCTGAGAGGGAAGAAAGGGACCTTTCGCAAACTAGATGGATGGATAAGCCTCGTCTGTTGCCCTGCTCCAAGGTAGCTTCGGCCTTCCGCAATCCTCCTTAGGCGTCACCCCGCTTCTCCTAGTCGCCCATACCAAAAAGCCAAGGCGATATTTTCTAGGGATACCGAGGTTGCGTCCAGGTGGATTGCCTCCCCCAAACCCGAATACCTCAAGCCCACGGAACGTCAGCGTGATGCCTGGAGCAAGCTGGAACATCATTGCTACCGTCTTGAAGTCCAATAGCACATATGTGCTCGCCGCTAGTCGCTCCGCCGTAGCTGAGATGAGGACCGACCGAGTTAAATTCACAGTTCTTGGCCACTCTTTTGCAATGATAGCCAAGCTGTCGTTTAATAGGATAGTCGTCGTGGCTGGGTTGCCAAGAGCGGTGTATAGCTCTCCTGTTGTTCGCACTAAGGGGTCTGCGCCGCATTGTGAGAACTGAGCAGCTAGAAGATTCAGGAAGGCTAGAAAAAGGATTAATTTCATCCTAACTATCTCATGTCCACGTCCTGACTCAGAAAAACAAGGTAAGGAGTTAGCGCTTCGTTTCGTTGTGAAGTTCTCATACCTAAAACAATCCTTCACAGATATTTCTTGGACGAAATACTTTTACCTCTGTACTGTTCCTAGCAGTACGTAACTGGACAGAAGTACGGGGAACAAGGCAATCACGGCGGTTGGTGAGCTGACCTCATGGACTCAAAGGGCAGCATATGTTGCTGAATATAAGTAATGTATGCGTTTTTCTGCTTTCATTCATACACGAAATACCAGCAGGGAGTGGTACTGCATTTACCACTCGGTCCCCTTCGCTGGCGAAAGTAAGCACATCGAGTGCATGTCTTGCCATTATCATTTGCTTTCCGTCTACAAGCTTATCTGTATACAAACTTGAATTGTTGCGGCTTGGCAATCGCTCGCACTTTCGACGCTGCAAGGTTAAGCACGTGGCCTAGCCACATGGCCTCTCATGTGCACCCTCTCCATTTGACTATGGTAGTGCAATGCATCTCTTGAAAATTTCTCCCGTTGACGAGTGTACGATTAACTGGAAGTTCCGTCTGCGCAGCAGGGCATGAATCCGGCAGTCATGCCACACAGCGTTCAATGAACATGACATGTTACAGCTACTGCACACCGGACTTGCATCAGACGAGTGACTAGTAGGTGATGCTAAAATTCGTTTGAGGTCTGCCTTCCTGACCGCTTACTTACAGCACTGGAATGAACTTATATCAGATAGGGTACGAGCAGCTTAACGATTAACTCCTTACGGCAGCTACAAAATGCCGCCCTGTCCACCTCCCTATGTCGTATGCTGACCGGTGCAGCACCGCTCCTGCGCTGGTCGCTGCCCTTCCCCCCGAAGACGCCCCTGCATTTCCATTTACAACTATTCCTCTCCACGACAAGCATCAGCTGCTCGGCCCTCAAAGAGCAGTGTTGGATGAAACACAGGAAAAGAGAAGGGACGTTTCGTGCGTCGGCAGGCACATTTGCAAAATGAACAAATGACGCCACAGTGGAGCCGACCGGATCGCCGGCAGCAGTGCTGCCCCCACCTAACCCAAACACTAAACGCACTGAGGTAAAGTCCCTTCTTCAACGCCCTGAACAGCAGAGACGCTCCCCTGCTCTTCACTTCTAAAGGGAGGCCCAAGGCACGGTCTACTAGGGTGGGGGAATGATAAAGGTGCTAGGAAGGTGAAGCAACGCAGGATTTCTAGCCACGAACACCACCAAGGTGTCATTTGCATGGGTGGCACGATGTCACGTCGCAGTCCTTTTTCATTGGAAATCTTCGCAAATCCTTCGCGGGTCCGCAAGTACCCCCGGGCCCGTGTAGATGAGTTGCAGCGGAGGGCCACCACGAAGTTCATACATCCAGGGCCCAAAACCTGTGCAGCATATCATTGACGCAGCATTTCTTCCAAACACACAAACAGCCCACCACGTCCGCTTCCCCAAATGGGAAAAGCTGTGCCAAGAATCCACTGGAGAAGAGAGCGCTTGAATTGGATCGATCGACGCCTTTTGAAGCTGGAGTTCTGTTATACGCCTTACCAGCTCAGTTATTCTTGGCGGACCTGATCCGTATTCGATCCGGACCTTACCAGTACGCGACGACACAAACGCTGCAACCGAAACTGCAACCCATACCCCCAGCACGGTGGCAAACGCCGTACAGCCAGTAGTGACGACCCACGTCTACGTACACTACTGAAAATGCACATGGACAAAAAAGGCACATGCATAGTATGAGAGTCAAGCCCTGACCTGCAGTACCAGAGAACACCCTGCCTGATCTGAATGATGATTTTCACATCGGCCAACGCATATGCCAGCGTCTTTATAGCGTCTTTCCATCTGCTTAAGGACAATGCTGGAAGAAGATGCTTGAATAAGGGAATTGAAGGGGCTGTTAGCTATCGACCCCTTCCTTATATGCTCCCTGGATAAGGAAAACGCAAGCCCAACCCGCTCTATGTTTCACGCATTTCTAGCCGCGACCGTTGGTCGGCAATAACGGCATAATAACCGTCGCGCCATGGCATCACACGTAGCGGTGGACAGGAAATGGGGGAGCTTCTTTCCAGCCACCTTTGCTGGAACTGTTCAAGAAAAAACCAAAAAAGCTGGTTCCAGTGTACGACACAGCACGGCATGGTCTGGCTCCCGCCACCAAAGAGACAAACACCAAGCAAGAACCCGAAACCGAGTGTATACTCGTGAGCCACGACAGATACACAGATCTACTTGCCGGCGTTCGTTGCGACTGCCAGTAATCAACGTGCGAGCCCGCCCAATCAAATACACGGAATCTAAGCCATGCGCGTGAATAAAAATCAACATCAAACCCCTTAGGGTTGAAAACTGTCCACATGGAAATGCGTGATAAAGTAAAAGCTGGAAATGCGCACCGCGCGCTCATCGTGCATCATACATAACCCATATTATACTTGCATGCCGAATGCGAAACGAGTATGTGGCCTGCGCAACATGTGCACTTGGTAAACGCGTGACACGTATTTGCATCGCACCCAGCCATCCACACGCAATCGACTCCTCTATCTACCCCATGACGGTCGGACCCTTCCGGTTCGGAGGCGTCGCCATGAGAGACCCCGTCCGCACCGCACCCCCCCGCTCTGCGGGTGTGTAATCACTGCCGCCGGGGAGATCCGTCTGGGATTGGGTCTGTGCTTGCCATGTAAGCGGTGGCGCCTTTGCAGCGCCTGGCCGTTGGATGACTATAATGTCGTCCTCTTGATGCTTACTGCGGGAGCTTTCGATGTATTGGACCGCGGATTCCACTGATGTTGATTCATCTGCCGCTGATTCTTTGCTCCGTGTGCTCTTGCTTCCCGAACGAAAAAGGCCGGTGAGCTTGGATTGATGCTTCAGGGTTTCCTTCTCATTGGACGGACGTGATGCATCCTTTGCAGGGGACTCCGAAACTCCCCACGCAGCTGGGGCTGTCGGCGGCGACGGTGAGTTAGATACGGCTGAAGCTGGCTGGTTGTTGGAAGTCGGCGTTGAGGCTGACAGAGAACCTGACAGCGGCGGTGCATTAGAACGATTCCGTAACGCCGTCGTAGGATCGCCTATGCTGCGGGAATCCCACGCGTTTGCTTGGCCGCCAGGTGAACTGTTGGTTGGAGGTACAGGATTGCTCGGGTCCGTGGAACTGTGCGTGAAGGCATTGCGAGTCCCCTCGCCTGTCGGCAAGAAGCTGTTGTGCGAGACTGTAGACTTTGCTCGAGCACGGATAGATATGGCATCATCCGATAGCGAAGTGGTGTTCGGGCTTGCTAAGCTGGGCGTAACGGCACTGCCAGTCGTCTCGCCATTTGGCAGTAAATCCTTGGCTGCGGCTATTGATTTCGCCCGTGGACGGACAGGTATGGTCTCCTCACGTTGACTTGGGGTACCTGCTGCACCAGGAAGGAACGTCAAGCCGGTTTGCCTCGCGAAAAGAGGCCGCGGCAAAACCCATCACTTACCTCTAAGCGCTTCCACATCAGGCGCATGCCCCTTACTAAAAGCCTTCTTTATACTGCATAAAAGAGGAATATCGATGGCTTTGTAAGTTGTCGCCTACTCTTGTCGGTTCGCTCCGCCGATTACCAAAGAGCCCTTTGGGACTGCGATCCAAATGCGCCACGTAACCTTACCCTCGAAGCATATTGGCAACCCTGGCAACCTGTTGACAGGACCTTGCCCTCACGTTTCCACTTTAGGTCCGTGTCAGAAGTATGTGCAAAAATTATGGTTTATAGCCTAGCGAGCACGTGCCCTTGGCAAAGGATATGACATAGAGGAGGGCATAGAAGGGTGTGTCTCACGCCGTGCATCGTGGTTGCTTGCATGGATTCGATTCGAAGGGCTGGATTTTGAAGCTTCACTTTTACTTACTAAACACCCATACAGACTTTCAATCACAACACATTATGATGAATGTTTGTTATGCTGGATCCTCCTGACTGTATTTGTACTTTGCTAGTGTATTGGGGTTCCAGTAGTCAGTATCCACTGGGCGCCTGGGCGCACAGTTGCTGAATTCCTCGTGGACAGCATATACAAGAGGCAAAGATGTGCTTCAAACCTAAAGATGTACCGAGCAAGAAGGGTGAGCTGTTAGCTGGAGCAATGCATGCTAGACGGGGGGTTGTATTGATCGGCTTGTATAAATACTTAACCAATTATGGAACAATGTAGTGTTGCAAGTGTCCTTTTAAAAGCTCAGCAATGTGACAATCAACAGTATACCGGCAAAGGTTCCAAATTTGGTGGGATGGACAGCTGGTCACTACCAATTGTCAGCTGCAGCACTAGTGACAGGGATTGTAGCCGCAGACAGCTGAGGCATGGTTACGTATTAAGCTAAATGCCCTTCAAGCCTGACCCTCTTCCTTTTCCGCTTTGGGGTGTTGCAGTCGTGCTTGTGGAGCTGGAGCGGGCTAAAGTTGGCCTGGAGCAAGAAAACTCCGTCCTTAAACTCAAGCTGAAGGACTTGCAAGCCAGCGCCGCCCGCGCCGCCAAGGAACGTGATGGGCTCAGCTACCAGCGCGCCGAACTTGAATCCCAGCTGCAGCAACGGTCCTCGCACGCGAGCCATGTGCTCACCCAAGTCACCTGCCTGCGCACCAACCTTACGTCAAAACTCCAAGACTTCCTTGAACAGCACCTAGCGGGCCAAGTCGTGCCGGCCCAGGACTGCAAAGCAACACATGGATCAGCAGCAGCGTCAGCAACCCACAGGGTCAACGTGCATATCGTACAACCCGAGTATGTCGGGGACGAGGAGGAGCTCTGCAGTGGTCAGGCTGCCGCTGCAGGCAACGAGGATGCTGCGGCGGCAGCGATGCTGCCATCCAAGATCTCTGACTCTGCGCCGACCCAGATCCAGTCCGCAGCCTCCCAGTCACAGCCCACGGTAGAAAACACAGGCGACAAGACAGCCGTGGGGCCGGACGTGCCGCTGTCAGTGCAGGAGCGGCTGGACCGCGAGCTGGAGGCTCTCGCCTGTGCACACCAGCGCGTCCTGGATCAAGCGACACGATTGTGTGAAGCGCTCCGACAAGCGGAGGTCGACAAGGCGGAGCTGCGCACCAACGTGGCCTGCGCCCGGAGGCGGCTGGAGCAGGCAGAGGCCAATGCGGCAGACCAGCAGCAGGTGCTGCAGCTGCGTTGCGCGGCACTGGAGCAGGAGAACGAGCAGTTGACAGGTGAGGCCATACAACATCGCACGGCAGCGCAGCTGCGGCGCAACCCAGGATTACGATTGGCAGTTCGGCTGCAATCTCATCAGTCTTGGATGTCGGGTCAGAAAGGATCGTCGCTCGAATCTGCGGCGACATGACGAAGTGAAGTCAATGGAAGCAACGCCGGGAGGCCTGCGGTGCAATCTTGGCAGCAAGGCAAGAGGCAGCTGTGACGCAGCTTTCGGTCCCCAGGCCTTTCTGGACTCTAAAGTGGCAAAAGTTGTCGTCGGCGACAACTGTACTGAAATCTGTGGCAGTCGCTGAAATGTTGATTGGTAACACGATGGCTGTCTGGTCACTGGTCTTGGCTTCCGCACAGGCATGAACCAGGAGATGCAGCAGCGCTTTGAGGGTGCGCAAGGGGAGCTCAGTTTGGCGAAGAAGCAATGGACTTCTGACGGTGCGCAGGTGAGCGACGGTGTTGGTGGTGGCCTCTGGATCATGCAGGACAGGCGGTTGGGAAGGGCGCCGCATGTGCAACGAAATTTCCACCACGTGATCGTTCGGCTCCGGCAGTGACCCGAACCTATCTCTCCGCCGCAACTGCAACGCCGGAAATAACGAAATGCCGTGCTGCGGCGGCATCTCAACCGGCTGATTGATGGATCTATTTAGGCCATGCGGCTGTGGCCCGTGCCCTGTTGCGGCTGGTGCTCTTGTGTTTTACCCTCCTGATGCGGGGACTCTCAAACCTCCCGGCTGTGGCTCTTGTGTTTTAACCTCCTGATGCGGGGACTCTCAAACCTCCCGGCTGTGGCTCTTGTGTTTTAACCTCCTGATGCGGGGACTCTCAAACCTCCCGGCTGTGGCTCTTGTGTTTTAACCTCCTGATGCGGGGACTCTCAAACCTCCCGGCTGTGGCTCTTGTGTTTTAACCTCCTGATGCGGGGACTCTCAAACCTCCCGGCTGTGGCATATGCAGCTTGCGAAGCAGGCGGCGGAGCTGGAGGCCACCAACGGGCGGCTGCGGGAGGCGGAGGCGGAGATCCGCGCACTCCAAAGTCAGCTAGCGGCCGCGACAGAACAGGCTCAGGTGAGGAGCGGTGGAATTTGAGGGCGGGAGAGTTAGTTGGGTTTTGCGTTGTGGTTAGGAAAGGGGGCCCCTCCTCCTGCCGCTCCTCCAGCAGCCACAGCGGTACACGCATACGCAACCCCGGAAGGAGGATGGCCATGCTTAGGATGGAGGAGGACCGACGGCAGCGCAACCACCTTACAGGAAGCGAAAGGGCGGCCCTACTCGAATCGGGAAGGGAAAGAGGCATCTATGGACCTGCGGATCTAATTAGAAACCACGACATCCATCCATTCGCTTTTGTTTCATACGCGCCTTTGCCGTCCTGCGCGCCTGCGCTCGCGGCCCCCTTTCTCTGCAGGACGCGATTGCAAAGGTGGGGGAGCTGCAGCAGCAGGTAGGCCGTGCACGACGCGTCATTCTGGATGGGTGTGAGATTGAACGCTGCTGTGCGTGTAAGCGGTTTGGCCCTTGATTTTACTAATCCTTGTGGTGCGGATTCACTGTGGCGGGGTCCAATTCCTTACGGGTTTTACGGCATAACGATTGCGGAAAGACGATGTGCTGCAGCAAGGAGAAACACAATGAAGCGAATGGGGTAAGAAGAAGGAAAAGCTTTGGGCGATGCTGGTAGCTGTTCCCTTCAAATGCCAATAGCACGCAGTTTGCTCCGGGACCTGAAGGCGCGTCCCGACTCAATGTCACCGCAGGTCACGGCGAGGGCTTCGTCCCTGGACGAAGCGGGCTCCGTGCTGGCGGCACGAGAATCAGAACTGGCGGAGGCGACTACGGAGCTGCAGCAGCTGCGGACTCGGCTGACGGAGCAGGAGCAGGCACGAGAAGCGCTTACAAGAGAGGTGGGGCCCTCGAGTTTGAACGGCGGGCATTGTGATAGCGTCATGTGCAAGTGAAAACGGAGTGTTGGGTGAAAACGTTTCACCCGCACTTTCAACGGAGATGCTGTGAGGCGTGTTGGTAGACGATAGACGGATGGAGTGAAAGGCGGGTGGAACGATAGGCTGATTCAAGTTGCGAAGGTGCGAAGGTGCAGTGTTCGTTTCTCTCTGCCCTTGCCGCAGCTTTCCCTTGCTTTTGTTTTGCACTGTGCTCTGGTCCTTACCGCGCATGCTGTAACCCACTGGGTCGCTTGTATCCGCAGGTTCAGGATCTGACGGGTCTTGGAAAGCAGACCACCGATAAGCTGGAAGAGGCCCACAGCAAATTGACCGACACGCAATGCCAACTAGGCGAGGTGCAACGGGAGTTGTCGGAAGCACAACGGGAACTGGCCGCTGCGAACCAGCAGCTGACAGCCCAGACCCAAGCCCTCGCCGACGCCAACGCACAGCTGCAGGCGTTAGCTGATACGCAACGGCAGCTCGTTGACACGCAGCGAGAGCTGGCGACCGTGGAGCGGGAGCTAGCGGCGGCGGAGCAGCAGCTTGAGGTTAAGGCGCAAGCGCTTGCGGACTCGGGTACGCAGCTGCAGGCATTGGCCGACACGCAGCGGGAGCTGTCTGCAGCGCAACGGGAACTGTCGGCGGCGCGGCAGCAGATAGCAGCCCAGGCGCAGGCGCTTGTGGATTCCAATGCCCAGCTGCAGGTGTGCGTGATAGCTAGCTGCAGTGTGCAGTTCCCGTCTCAACTTATGAATGAGAAGACGCGCGAGATGATGATGTGGTCCTGGTCGTACCTCGGCGCCCACGTCCCCTGCTACTCTCTATTTCCTTGCTTCCTTAGGCAAGGAAGAACAGTACTGCTGTATTCAGCGGTCAGGGGTCAGGGCGGGAGTCAGGGGTCACTTACGGGTTCGACTCCTCCTTCCCTTCCCGCTGTCGCTGCTTGCTCTCCCATTATGCAGCTCACCAGTACGGGACAGAAACGTAACAGAACGCACTCATACGGCCCTCGGCCATACGGGTCCCAGTCGGACAGGTCACTCCTGCGCGGCGCATTCGCACCTTTTTAACTCACTCTTACTTCACGTTACTCTTGTTCATACTCGGCCACTCACTCGATACAGGAGAGCCGTGCCGCACTCGCCGCCACGGGGGAGCGACTGAACCGCGCGCTGGAGGAAGTGGCGGCTAGCGAGTCGCGGGTCGCCGAGGCAAACACACAGTACCTGAACACGAAACAGGTAAGGTGGTTGGGTGTTGGCGAGTCCAGAGTCAACGCACCCTGTGCCTGTACACATGCCTGCCGTGCCATCCATTGCTCGTACGCATACGACACAGCCGTCCACCACCCAGTCGTCCTTCGCCACTACAGCGCCGCTTATACCAATGGGCTCTTGATGTCACGCTTCTGTTTAACATCTCCTTCGAAAAATTTAAGTAACGTCTATAGTTTATTATTTGAGAAGTCTAACACGTCGCTGGTGGCTACGGAACTCGATAATGTCTAGTTATTCGTGTACCACCATCGACATTTCCCTAACCGCGGCTACAGATCATTAAAACACATTCGCGACCGTAAGCCCTTCCCGTCCCGGCTGACCACACGTGCCACCCCCACATCGGGCCAACCCCTGTAGAGTGTCATCTCCACAGCCAAGCAGCTCGCCAGCATGGCCAAGGACCACTCAACCAACCTTGCCAAACTGCATGCACTGGAAGCCGAAGCCACTTCCCTGCGCGAGCAGCTCGCGGCTGCACGCAGCGCAGAAGCCTCATTGCGCGTTCAGGCCGAAACCAGCAGCGCCGCGGCCCGAGACGCGCGCGAAGCGGCGGAAACATCAGGCGCCGAGGCGCGGCGCCTGCGTGTGGCGTATGACACGGCCTCCGCGGACTTGCGGCGGAAGATTATGCTGCTGACGGCGATTGCACGCATGGCGGACAAGGGCCAGGCGGGGGCGGGTGGGGCGCGCGGGAGAGACGTCCAGGTGAGGAAGGAAAGCAGCGCCAGTGTCGAGCCCGCGCGCGCCCGTGCGCCCGTGCCCTACTGGGGCTAATACATTCCACAATCCAACACACACACCACCTCCGCTGTACACTTGTTCCTTGTTAGCGCACTTGCCTGCCCTCCCACAACATGCGCCGCACGTTCCCCATCATCGCCCCAGGCCCCGGACCCCGCTGACGGGTATGGCGCCGTAACCAGTGAGCAGCGTCTTCGTCTCAAGATCTGCGAGTCCCCTCTGCCGCTGCTGGGCGCCCTGACTGCCGGCATCATGGACTCCTCCCGACTGAGGCACCTGGCCCTGGACATGGACACATCCAGGGAGGTGACCTGGGAGAAGGTGGGCAGAAGAGGGGGGAGGGGGGAAAGACGAACCACAAACGAGTGAAGCTGCTGCCATGGGGGAGGGGGAAGGGAGGGTGAGTGGGTGGGTGGTTTAGGACAGGTAGAGAGGGAGAAGGGTGGGATGGCGGAGGGCAGACCTGCGGGATAAGGGAACGGAATAAGTTAAAAATGGAGTAAGACGCGCGCTGCAGGCTGCTGCTGCTGCGCGCAGGCTTTTCCATGTGTTTGCGCAGAGCCCGCCAGCGCATGTTATATTCCGCGTTAGGGTTTACTTACTCCGGTCGCTCATCTTATCCTTGGGCTGCGCGAACGGGATTAGAAACGCATGATATCATTGACGTATATGCAATGACGGTCCCCGGCCGGCTGGTATATGTGTATATGTCGATACCTGCAGGCGGGTCTGCGCATCTGCTGCCTGGCGGCCGCCATAGGTCTCAACAACAGCCTGCAGACGCTGCAGCTGGGCGGCTGGACGTGGGGCGAGCTGGGCAACGGCACGGCCCTTCCCTTCCTGGCGCTTGGGGGTGGAGGCGGCGGAGGCGGAGGCGGCATGCTGCGCAGGTAACGCAGAACCTTTCAGGAGGGCAGTAGTCCACCCAACCTAGCCCAACCCAGTCCACCCAACCTAGCCCAACCCAGTCCGCCCAACCTAGCCCAGCCCAGCCCGTTCCTCGCCTGCCGGGGCACCCCGAGGCAAGGCGGACAAGGACACCCGGAAAACACCGCAAGGAACCTTTCCTGTGGCGGTAGTGGACTCAAATGGGATTATAAGGTCATAAAAAGAATTAAGTACGGGGGTTTGCCCTCCTAAAACCACCCACTGCACCCCATACCTCCGCAGTGTGCAGCTGGCCACCAACCTGTTCGACCTGGAGGCTGCCGCGATGCTCAAGGACCTGCTGGCAGCGGGGCTGGTGGAGTTGGACACGGGAGGTGGCCGCATGGTGGAGGAGGAGGGGGGGGCAGGAGCAGGAGGACAGAGGTCAAATGGAGGCGTAAGCGCCGGTGCTGGCCAGGTGCGCAGGGTGGCCGGGTATCGCAGCAGTAGCAGCAGCAGCAGCAGCAGTACTGCGCCCGGTCCGCCCTTCCCGTATCCTAGCCTTCCTACTTGGCATTTAACACGCCGGCTACGGCCCTTGCTTTGTCCACTCATTATGTAGGATCTGCTGTATGTGGGGTAGCTCTGATTCACCTGTGATCTTTTGAGTGACCCCACCATGGGGCAGTTGGCTGCTATGGAGTGATGATATATAGGTTGAATAAGGATGAAAGCGGGTATGGGGAGGCGTGTTTTATTATGAGGCATGCGATCTCTGTTATGTTGTTTTTCTTTTATGCTGAATGAACTGAAATGGTGGTGCACCCTGCTCTCGCCCTCCATCACACTTCCTCTCGCAACCAACCATTACCACAACGCAAAACCATCACCCCTTTGACCAGCAGGGAGTTCTGTACCTGTACAGCGGCAACGAGCGCCTGGACGGCTGGTACCGGGAAATGCTCCTCCTTGCGAATCGGCTGCGACCGCAGAGCCGCACCAGCAGCAGTGGTGGTGGCAGCAGGACTTCCCTTCCAGCGGCAGTGACGGCGACGGCGCCCGTCCTGCAGTCCGCCAGCAACGGCGGCGGCGGCGCCGCCGCCGCCGCCACCGCCGGCGCTCCGTTCGTTCACAGCCTCTCAGCCCCGTCCATCGCCTTATCTTTCGCTTCCGCCATGACCGATGACGTACGCGGTCAGCCAACCTCTTCCGCTGGGTCCTCCACTGCGCCTGCATCGATCAGCAACGGTACGAGCAACGTCACCGCTGCTGTTACTGTTCCTGACGTTGCGGCGTCAGGCCCCACTGCTGCGGCAGCCGCCGCCGTGGACTGCGACTTGTCTTCCGAGGCCCTAGAGTCGCACCACATGGTGCTGGTGATGACGGTTCTGCTGACCTGTCCCGGAATGAAGCGCCTGAGGCTGGACGGCAACAAATTGGGTGACGGCGGCGTGGCCCTGCTGGCACTGGGTCTGGCTAGCAACACGGGGCTGCGGGAGTTGTACCTCAGCAGGTAGGGTAGGCTTGCAAGGGGGGGGGAGCTTAGGGGAAAGAGGGGCCGAGGGGAAAGAGGGTCTGTGTGTGTCTGGGCCATGGGGAGGGGATGTGGGGATTTGCGAGAGTCCTGATGAGTCCTTAAGAGTGGCAGGGAGGCCGTGCTGTCAAGGATGCAACAACAACACCGCCACCACCGCCACCACCACACACACACACACACACACACATACCCCCGCAAGGAGCGAGTGATGCCTTTTGGCACAGAACCCGATGCATGCTCCACCACCACCATTTCCCACCACAAGCCTAAGCAATCAACAATCAGCACCGCAACCACTACCACCACGACCTACCTGAAACACCTTCCTTTTGTCACACTTTGGTGCTGTTGGTTGGCGCCCTGTTGGTTTGCACGATGGCATGACACCACGGCCACATTTGCATTCCCCCTAATCCCATTTTCAAATCCCTCTGGACCTCTTTCCTTCCATCCCGTTCCCGGTCTCCCACCTGCACAATGCCTCTCAATGCTCATGCCCTCCCCCCAGAAACGGCATCCGGGCCGCGGGCGCCCACAGCCTGGCTCGCTGCCTGGAGGCCGCCAACTCCACACTGCTCCGATTGGACCTGTCGGGCCAGAGACTGGAGGGCATTGGCGCCGCCGGGGCTGAGGCCATGGCGCAGGCACTGCGGACCAACAGGTGTGCGTGTGTGTGTGCGTGTGTGTGTTTTCTGCTTCCTTCTTCCCCTTCTTGCTCACCCTGCCTCTTCTCTGTCCTTTTTCATTTCTCCTGGAGGATCAGCTGAAGAAATCTGAGCCAAGTAACCGCAACCAAATTCTTCTTCCTTCCCACGTTTTTATCCTGTGTCTCCCCCCCCCCCACACACACACACAAACGCACACGCTCCTGGAAGGACGATGGAGGATCTCAACCTGTCCAGCTGTGGGCTCACGGGCTCCGCAGCAGCATGCTTCGCGGGCGCCATCCGTGCTGCCGGCGCGATCCGGCCTCAGGCCCTGTCGGCGGGCGGCGCCGCTGCCCCTGCCGCTTCCAGCCCCGGCGTCAGTCCGCGTGGTGGCAGCGGTGCAGGCGGTGGCGGCGGCGGCGGCTGTCTCCGCCGACTGGCGCTGTCCGGCAACGGCATCGATGCCGCTACCTCCAAGGCGCTGCTGGCTGCGGCGGCCGAGCGGCCTGGGCTGGTACTGACGCTGTAGCACAGTATTACATGAGCCGGGGTGTGTTGTGAGGAACATGATGGGTTTCGTTACTGCGCGGACTTTACATGACAGGTGTGAGTGAGTGTAGCGTGTAGCGTGTTGTGCGGAGCTGGGTTACCTCGGGCATTGTTGCGAGCGTGAGGCGCGCTTTCGGACCGCTGTACTTGGTGAGAAAAGTTATCCAGGCGGGGGGTAAGTCGGTCGGCCTTCCGTCCTTGGCTAGGGCAAGGCAGGGTAGGGTAGGGCTGCATCCGTCTGCAGCAGCAGGCGTGAATCGTTGGCATCACGTTAATGGCAGTTAATGACATAAAGGAGAGATCTTGCAAGGCGGGGAAAATTTGGACGTCTCTCGAGATCTGGAGTTCTGCAAAGGTCAAAAGGACATTCCAGACCACGTGAGTTACTTGCAGCAGGGCGCGACCTGAGAGGCAGAGTGTGGCAGAGTGCGGTAGCCCGGGGGCCATAACGGTGGCACGGTGCGTATGGGGAAATCGCCATCGAGCCGTGTGCATGTCTGGCTGGGGGCATTTGGGGATACGGTGTTGTAGGGGTGGGTGGGGGAGGAGGGGGCCTAACAGCTATCAAGCACATGACTGGCAGCGGGATGATGATGATGATGATGATGCCTTTAGCTACGTGAGCTATTATTGCCATCATGCGCTGTTTTACTTGCCTGTGTTGCCTGTGTTTTGTTTGGTGAGCGAGCCTTATTCCAAGGTGCTTGTGCAGTGTAAGCATTCGGTGTTGGCGTCAAAATCCATGGTTGAAGCATCAGCGGGTGCAACCCCAGGAGGGTCATTCCAGGCGGTTAGCGTTAAACAGAGAAATTTATGATGAGGAAGTGTTTTTCTATATGTATTTGAGAGATGCTTGTATGGCTGCCATGGGGGGTGGCATTGATTTGGCGCAGCTTCGTCATTGCTCAGTGCCAGAGCTGTCTCGTCTCTGCCCTGCTCAGTGTTGCGACGTGAATGTACGGTGTGGTGAGCGGTGCCGTACTGAAGTCTGTAAGGCGCAGATCCGCTGTGGTGATGAGATGTCTTCTTTTGTGAGCAGTGTTTAGGTCCCTCCTCCGCAGCACGTGCTTTGCCGAGGCCTCTGGCCAGTTCACTTGGTGGGCCAGCAGTAACACTAGGTATTCAGGGTTGCAACCCTGAATAAGATTTACCTTTACGCTTGCTTCATTTCCGATCTGGCGCATTCAGGACTCAGCGCGGGTCGACAGCGGTAAGCTTGAAACTCTTTATTACATTATGGTGCAATTAGCCCAGCGAGTGCGGAGGTGCACGGAAAAGCGCGGAACATCATACAATTACAGGGCCGAACAATGGGAAAACAGGAAAAGGGGTTTCCCAGGGAAGTCTGGATCCCCAGGAGGCACTTTCCTCAGAAGTTCTTGGGCCGAACGATCCTTTGGCTACTCGTACTGTACAGCACATCAGTATTGAGTCAACTGTAGGCAGGACGTCCAATCAAAGGTCCCTGCACTGCGCAGGCATGGGCTTCCCGGGCAGTCGTCCTATAGCCCTATAGGACAGCAACTAGGCCACATCACATCACAAAATCCTCGTCTCCTTGCGCATCCCGTCCCGCACCCTGGAATATGTCCAGGCAAGCTGAAACGAACAATGACAGCAGCAGCAACAACAACCGCAGTAATGATAATAGAAAATAATAATAATAATAGTAGCAAGAACCGATACACATAACTATCGCGCATCCCGTACACAAACCCCGCCCAATAACAAGACCCGCTCTTCGGCAAGTCCTTCACACGGTACTGCTACGTGTATTAAGTTCCAAAGGTCCATACATTACGAGCTCAACGTGTGATTCCCTTAAGGAATCCAAGCACTTGCAAGTAGGAGGACCCAAACAAGAGCCAATCGCATGCAACATGTATGCACAAGATCCGCCAGATGCACCCTTGCAGACAACTCCAAAAACCGGTGTGAAGCCGTCAAGGGTCTCTCCTCTTCCCCTCCTCCCGCGGCTCCCCACCACAATCTCCCCATCACCACCACCACCGCCACCGCCACCACACGGTCCAACTCAAGGCAGGCAACAGCTAATTAAACCGCAGCGCTTCCGCGATGCCGTCGCCAGCCCTAGCGCAGACCGAGTTTCTTTCCATCATATGACGGCA